AAAATACAATTTCAACATCTAAATAGTAAAAATAATAATTGCTTGTGATTTAAATTTCTATTTTAGCTTACCATCGGAACTTAATGGTCTTGGTGATAATAATGACTCTTTATAGACAACATTCCTACCTATATGATCTTTAATATCTTGAGCTAGTTTATTCTCTTTTATACTAGTCAGTGTATCAATGACATTTCTCCATGTTGCTTTAGAATTAACTGACAACCATTTTGAATATAACGCTGACTTTCTGTCTTCAACTTTTACATTGTCTTGCTCAATTTTTAAAACGTCATGCCTTGAAATTCCAACTAAACACAAACCAAATGGTTTCCAGTCAATAAGTGGTTCAAGCCATTGAATTAATAATGAAATATCTGGTCGATCATCAATCATAGGACCAGGATTGAGTTCAACATCTCCTGATAAGAGGAGGAGCATACGTAGACAAACAATCAAATAGAGATCATTGTAAATCAGGTTAGAACTGCTGCCTCCAGGTAAGACTACTGACTGGAGGTAATTTGTATCAGTAACAGTAGCACCAGTAGTACATTGTACTTGGTAGCAGTTACCTAATAATAAAATACCAGTAAATATACAAGTACAAAGTTGCAGTTGTTGTTAACCTATTGGAGGAATCAAGATGTGTTTTAATAAAGAGAGAGAGTGAAAGAGGAGGAGGAGCAAAGCAATAAGAAACAGAGCTGGTGGCAATTTAGATGTCTTCTCTCCTGATGTAGTACTGCCTGACTTGCTGTCTACTGCAGCTTTGAATGAGTGAGAGTGGCAGCCATTAGCTGGTCTACTGGAGGCAGCTTGACAGTAGTTCCACAGTCCAATACTTGCTCTCCATTGAGAAACATCAATCATCTTGTAACTATTATGACATTCAAGCGATCACTATTAAAGTGCAAAGCACAGCATTTGTTGTTGTTGCATCATCATTCCTGAGTAAAGTGTACTAATTGATTCAGCTATGCAATTAGACTACTATGCAATAAACTCCTACAGTCATCCTACAGGCTACAGTCATGCATTCATTGTATGAATTCCATACTTGTACCAAACCACACACAATTATTATTAAATTATTATGTTATTCAAATAGTGTAGTGCAGTATAGTAAATACACATATACTATGTCCCAACTGAGTTTGGACCAAGAAAAACTGGAATAACTTTTTATAGGAATGTGGGATAAGAATGAGACTTTCACAGGTTCTTAGTCGCCCAATGCCGCTTCAGGATCTCAGGTCTTGGGTCTCTCAGCCCTTGGGAACCCTGAGAACCGGGTTCCCCCTATAGACCCTTTGCAGAAGGGTGTGGTCGGGTGTGGCAATTTATGCGGCGGCCATCTTGGAGTACAACTTACCTATAATAAAATGGAGTCATGAGGAGAAGAAGGTCTTTTACCGGGTTATATCAACTCTATAACAGATGTACCTTCGAAAGAAAGTACAAAGAAAAGCTGTGGTGCATTGGTGGACAAGATCCAAATGAATTATATCATTCTTCATGGATAGATAACATTGATATGAGGCCCTGCACATTTCATGCATATAGGAATGTACTTCTACTTAGCCTTATCCCAACCCCCTACACTGGAGAAGATTTACTTTAATATAAAAGCCTTGATTGTTACTAGAGATTTGTAGCTGGGTGGGTAAGAGATGTGCTTGTTACTGAATGGCAGTGGTGTGATGATAAGATCACTAGAGTTTATTGAAAATTAAATGATTAATAGGTAAACCATTCTATGAAGTTAAAGAGAAAGCCCTTCATATCATGAATAAGTAATCTTTATTGGTAATGCTGTAGCTAAAGTACAATCATCTCCATATCTTCCAGTTGAGACACTTTCTTAAGCATTGCCAGTGAAACATTTTGGACAGAAAGGTAGTAATTTAAGTGACTAATAGATTACAATAATGAATGTTTATTTGTTCTAACATCAAGCACACATAAATTTCTATCAT